TACAAACTACATTTTGGTATATGTAATCTGTAATCTGTAGGGGAATACATTTTAAAAGTAACCTTCCCAACACTGTACCTAGAGTACTTGTGTACCTGGAGCTTCTGCCAGCATCTCTAGAGTAGACCACGCCCATGCCCTGTTACTTACACTGCTGACACACAGTCATTATGGAGACCAGGGAGTAGAGTCTGTCCCCTGTCCAGGCCCCTCCACACAGCATTGCTCCTTTGGGCACACTCACATCAGAGGTACCAGAAGGAGCACTGTCATGGTGCATGGTTCTGGTAGGCAGGCCGCATATTCATGCATTTGTTTAATGACATTGGCAATACAACTTTTCTCTGATTTTGATTTCTTCTGCTGTGGCGGGTCGTGTCATTCACAGATCTAAACACAAATGTCTGCTGTGGGACTGAGGCTGTGAACACTAAGTCTGAGTCCGAACCAGAAAGTAAAAATGTGTGACGAAATCAGTAGTGTTCAGATGGAGGATTTGGCCTCTGTGTGGAGACATCGGGTGCTCCAAAAGACTAAGGCCATACTGAGCCAGTCTAACCATGTACTACACTCACAGTTTGTGCAAATGCCCTCTGGGAGGAGCTATATCACCCCACAGCAAAAGACCAACTTCTACGCTAAATCTTTTATTCCTTCTGCCATAAAGCTTTTAAATGGGAAGTAAATTTGCTATTGTGTCCCTGATGCACTGAGGTTTGAATGTATGGCGTCTGTTTTTCTTTTTCTTTTATTATTTATATATTGTGCACGACCAGAGATGTGCGAACTGAATTGCCCTTTGGGATTAACAAAGTTGTTGATTGATTGATTGACTAAGATCTGGGCAAAACAACAACATTCAAACCAGTCTATGAACCTATGACACCATGTCTTTTGAAGGGTAAACCACTGATTTGTCTCCATGGAGACATGGAGTATTGCAGTAAACCAAACTATCTCTATAAAGACAAAATGTTAATGCTCCCAGGTCAAGTTACAAGTCAGATCTGTGGAGTGACAAGTCTCACTTTAATGTTATGCACACACTTAAAACAGCTATAACTTATAATAGGTTACAAAGATAAATTTAGTGATATACTGTATAAGTTTCCAGTTAAAAGAATAGCATCTCCATGGAGACAAGCAAGTAGCGGACTCCAGTCAGAAAAGTTACATAATGCCTCTTTAAGTAAATTATAATAAACAATACAATGTACATGTACTTATTATATATTTTTTTTAAATAAGAACAAAAAAAATAAGAATTCCAAATCAACCTTCTGTTTATTGACTAATTTCTGTACATTCTTTCAGGGTGGTCTTCTGATCAGCTCCATCTCTGGTTCCTCATCTTCTGAAGACATGATTCTTCTTGTCAGCTTCATCAAATAATTTCTGATCAGCTCATGTTCTTCATCTTCTGGCAGCGGCGGATTGGCAATTATTCTGGAAAAGCCCAGAACAGCCGTCCGCTCATGGACCGGTCCTCAATTTTCACTGTGGGTCGATTTGTAGGGGAAAATTCCAGGGCCTTTCTTTGGTCCCAATCTGCCCCTGTCTTCTGGAGATACAGTTCTTCTCATCAGCTTCATCAAATCACTTCTGATCAGCTCCTGTTCGTCATCTTCTGGAGACACGTTTTTTTCTCGTCAGCTTCATTAGATCTCAGGACCACAGGGCTCAGGTGGCCCCTCCAAACCAGTCATCCTGGGAACAGAAACAGAAAGAGAAAGAGAGTTAAGGCGTGTGCACATTCAAAATAAGATACTATAGAATAATTTCTTACCTCATGTTTGTTTGTTTCCGGAAACACGGTTCTTCAGGTCAGCTTCATCAACTCACTTCCGATCTGCTCTTGTCCTTCATCTTCTGGAGACATGGTTCTTCTCGTCAGCTTCATCACGTCACTTCTGATCAGCTCTTGTTCATCATCTTCTGGAGACACGTTTTTTTCTCGTCAGCTTCATTAGATCTCAGGACCACAGGGCTCAGGTGGCCCCTCCAAACCAGTCACCATGGGAACAGAAACAGAAACAGAAAGAGAGTTAAGGCGTGTGCACATTCAAACTTTCAGACTTTTACGTGTTGAAGTACATGTTTCATTATATATTTTTTACCAACACATAAGACTATTAAAAAAAAAAAAAAAAAAAAAAAAAAGGAGAAGTAGTGAGTGTCCCACTGACTGGTGAGTTAGTGAACAAGCCCACATCTCAAGATACAATCATTCAAATCAGTCTCCAAAGAGACTGTTTACAAAGGCTTTGAGTAAAATACACATTTGATTGGATTTGAAATGGCACGTTACAGGCCGTACAAGGTGAATCCAACACAACAAGAACAGGAGATATAAGTGAACAAAGCCACACCTCCACACTTTATAATTATTCTCTCATAGTTATTATAATGAGATTTGCAGTTGTTGAGAATATGGCTTTACTGCCTTAAAGCTCCATATAATATTATTTTTTTTTGTATAACACAGTTAGTCCTTAGTAGTTGTAATACTAAGTACTATAAAACACACTCTCACCGCTAACCCTTCTATGCCCAGAAAAACACAAGTTTACAATAAATGCAAGGTGTACTATGCAGGAATTTCTGATTTCTGATTAAATTTAAATCAGTTAGCATCCTAGCATTTTTTCAGTACAAACGAACCTGGGGCCCAATTGCGTATTACATGTATTATAATAAGATAGTTAACAATCACTCAGTTAAAACATAAGTCAATGATAAAACTTTACATTTTATCATCAAAGTTTTTATGAAATCCTATATAATAATCCTTGCTTTTTTCCTACTTAAAAATTATAACAATCATTTTCACCTCAAATTCAAAGAAAATAAAAAGTCAAGGTGCACTATGCAGGAATTTCTGTCAAACTGTAGTACTCAAATTAAATTTTACATAAATTAGATTTTAGTCTGTGAAAAGAGTAAAATGTATTATTATTACTATTATTATTATTATTATTATTATTATTATTATTGTTTGCTTGTTGAAATCTTACATAGTGTTCCCTACTTTTTTTGTACTTTTTTTTCTGTTTCTTATATATATATATATATTTTATATAAATATAAATCTGTATAAAAATCTAAAATCTGTATAAATCAAAAAGTATAAGGTGTACTATGCAGGAATTTCTGTAAAACTTCAGTACTCAGATTTGAATTCAGAATAAAATTACAGTTAACTCAGTAAGAAAAGGTTATGTCTTTTCACCAATGTTTGTTGTTTTATGAAATCCTACATAGTATTCCTTACCTTCAATCTATTCGTTTTTAAAAATCAATCAATCAAGAAATCAATCAATTAAGAAATCAATCAAGAAATCTATCAATCAAGAAATCAATCAATCAAGAAATTAATTAATCAAGAAATCAATCAATCAAGAAATCAATCAATCAAGAAATCAATTAACCAAGAAATCAATCAATAAATCAATTAATCAAGAAATCAATCAAGAAATCAATCAATCAAGAAATCAATCAATCAAGAAATCAATGGGATGATGGGCGTGGTTTAAGGTGGTAAAAGTCGCCGCATTGAGCCAAGCTCTGAGTCTCAGAGGCTGAGTTCAGTCCTCGTCCGACTCAGAGTCTTGGAACAGGTGGTGGTACTGGAACCTGAAGCGTCCAGGCGTCCCAGAGGAGGTGGTGGGGTCTGGGTCGGAGGTGGTGGGGTCTGGGTCGGAGGTGGAGGGGCCTGGGTCGGAGGTGGTGGGGTCTGGGTCGGAGGTGGTGGGGTCTGGGTCGGAGGTGGTGGGGTCTGGGTCGGAGGTGGGGCCTGGGTGGGAGGTGGAGAGGCACGGCCGCTTGGAACTAGGGTCGTCCTGTTCTTCATTGTCTTCATCCCTGACGCGCTTGTGTCCGCTGCGAGGAATGAAGTCCAGAGCAGGACCCACTGGAGGAGGATGTGGAGCAGCAGGAGAGCTGGGTGCTTGCGGCTGAGGAGGGGGGGTCGGGACGCGATCCTCTGGCTCCACAGCTCGAACTGGAAGCATCCACCGGACCGCCCAGAGACGAGCTAAGGCGTTGAATGCTTCTATCTGTCTATCTTCGAGGAACACTCGCCTCTCTTCTTCCTCTTCGTCCTCCTCTTCTTCCTCTTCGTCCTCCTCCGCGTCACTCCTCTCCCAATCTTCCAAACCAAAATCAGCGAGCCCGTCGTTCCAGTCCTCTTCAATACCTAACCCAAAATGAAACCAAGGCCCACCTACCTCCAACTCACCTTGGTCCTCCAGGTCCAGAGGGTCCTGAACGGCCACTGCAACAGATTTGATAATGTTAAACACTCTTCAATTTGTATCTGGAGCAAGTCAGACTAGTACCACAGGCTCTACTAACTTATACTGCTACTACTACTCCCAGTTATTTACATAACATATCGAAGGTGTATGGTTTATATCTGGAGGAGCCAGAGTTTGCAGGGATGATTTGTTATATTGATGTTTGGCTCTAAACTAACTGTAGGTTTATAACATTGATTCTGATCAGTTCAGATGGCCTATTTTACTGTTACATCTATTGTGGTGTATTCCAAATTGAGCAATTAGGACCGGCTGAATACATTTGGTAGTGTATGACATTGTCATTACAGTGCTGCAATGCATGGTTCAAGAACAGCAGGAAAACAGGAATATGCGATCAAAATCAAGATAAATGATACTATAAAGAAATACAATAGACACAACACTGTCAGCTGAGTAAAGCTGTAAAGCTATAAAACTACACAATAAGTGGATCTGACTGTAGTTATGAACAGTGCAGCAAATGCACAAGAATAAACAGTAGATAAAGTGATGTGAGTATACTATTATTTGTACAATAAGTAGCTATAACTCTGTATTATCTACAGTGCAGCATATGGACAAATTAAATCAAGTGACTTGGGTGAATTGTATCTGCAAAGTCTCTCATTATGTTACAGTATTGCACATGATTAGGCCTACTACAGGCGGACGGCACGTAAAGACCTACAGCGCTAAGAACACACCATTTTTATTGTGAATTTCTACTTGGATTTGGGTCATACATAATTGTAATTTAAAAAATATAACCAAACATTAGGCTACAGTACATTTTGCTGGGTTCTTGGTTTTTGCCTGGCCTAATTCATTCTGTTATGAGGGTCTATTTGATGAATGAGTTCATATTTATGAATATAGTTATGGATTATTAGTTGAACCCTTTAATTAAGCATGCTTTTTATACTTTATAGGCTATATGGTTGGTCCTATAGTTTTCTTGCAGTGATTTGAGTCTGGCATCTCCTCCTAAACCAAACCTCAAATGGAATGCTCAAATTAAATCAAACACCGGGGTTTCTATGGAGATCAAATGTGCATTTTCTAAAACATTCCAATTTAGCATTGCTAGCCTAGCGCCATGTTATTTTCACAAAAATGCCACTCAAACCCTGATGAATTTTGATGCTCAGAAAATACAAGATCGATTATTTCCTATAAATGTGACGATAACTTTTCACTACGCACTCGTGCTGATATGTTTCGAGCAGTTTCACGAGCTTCATGATCGAACATGAAATGGTTGAGTTAAAGTCACAAACTATCAATTCATAAACCTGTATTAGGAGTCAAACCTTACACCCATGTGGATAAAACTTCTTGTCATGAAGTATTTTGACTATGTTATTAATATTAATCATAATTTATCATGTTTGAATGTTATTGGAGTAATCTCACCTTCGGGGACGAAGTCCCGGTGGTCGAGGAGGAAGGTGAACCCGCCCATGGTGAAGTAGTCTCGATAGTCTAGGTGCGTTTTCAATCCTTCAAAACAGTGAACAGAGAGTTACTGAGTGTTTTATAATCGCTGATGGGCTAATAAGAGATGAATACCAAAGTTACGTACAAGTGTTCACAGAGCGTCCAAGAGGCGTTTTCTCAGGTGAGAAGTGAGTAACTGAGCGAGCGGCAGCCGCTTATATTGTGCGTCCAGACGTTCTGTTGCTATGGCCCCGACGCACGACGCACCTCCTGACCGTACGTCTTTACGCCTTTGACTTGTCAGTAGCCTAATAGGCAATTCATTTGAAGAGAATAATCATTAAATTAGGGCCTGGTCCATGCGTGGTTTTACTTGTAGCCTAAAAGTTATAATTGATTTGACCAGACCACGACTCTGCTGCCAACACCACTACAGAGACCTGCACCAGTGGCGGAGCGTGCATTTCACACCTTGGCCTTCAGTAGTGCTCCATCTGAAACAATCCACTCCTCAATAACTTCAGTCCCTGACAAAAGTCTTGTCGCTTATCCATTTTGTAGAAACAAAAGCTTATAACCTGACTTTAAATTAATCGATTGGTTTTAGAAATGTCTCATATGAAAGCTAAAACCCTCCCAAATTATGCTCAATATACTCAAATAAATTTGCTTCACTGAAGAAAGATTGATCATTTAATGAACACAGAAAGGTCAGATTTTGGCAAGACAAAAGTCTTGTGGCCTTGTCATATGATGCACCCAATCCTAGATTACAGCCTCATCTGTGATCAGTTACTGATCAATCAATTAGTGGGTGTGTATAAAAAGAACCCCAGCACACCAGACCTTCACATCAACTGCAACTTGACCTCTGACAACATGCCTAAGATCCACCCTGAGACCAAAGCGTTAATTATCAAGAGGCTGAAGACCAGATCCACTGCTGAGGTGGTGACACCTTCAATGTGTCTCAGTGTCAAGTACAAAGAATAAGAAAAAGATCTGAAATGACTGGAGATGTTTTTGACAAGCCCAGGTCCGGCAGACCCCGCAAGACAACTGCTCAGGAGGACCGTTTGTTGATTCAAAAATCCAAGGCCAGCCCCTTTTCCACTGCAGCAGACTCCACCAGGCCTGGTCACCTCAAGTCCCTGTGTCAACCACAACAGTTTGTAGAATTCTGTCTCGAAATGGCCTCCATGGTCGAATCAGTGCACAGAAACCAGCACTAAACAAAAGACAATTAAAAAACCATGTGGCATTTGCCAAGGTCCACAGCCTGCTAAAAGGATGGACACTGGAAAAGTGGCAGAAGGTGGATTTCTCAGATGAATCCTCAGTTGAATTACATCACAGCCGCCGCAAATATTGCAGGAGACCTACTGGAGCCTGCATGGATCCAAGATTCACCCAGAAAACAGTTAAGTTTGGTGGTGGAAAAATCATGGTCTGGTGTTACATCCAGTATGGGGGTGTGCGAGACATTTGCAGGGTGGAAGGCAATATCAATAGCCTAAAATATCAAGAAGTATTAGCTCCTCTTACATTCCCAACCATAAAAGGGGTTAAATTTTGCAGCAGGATGGTGCTCCATCGCATACTTCTATCTCTACATCAAAGTTTCTCAAGGTGAAGAAGATCAAGGTGCTCCAGGACTGGCCAGCCCAGTCACCAGACATGAACATCATTGAACATGTCTGGGGTAGAATGAAAGAGGAAGCATGGAAGGCAAAACCAAAGAATCTTGATGAACTCTGGGAGGCATGTAAGACGCTGTCTTTGCTATTCCTGATGACTTCATCAACAAATTGTATGAATCATTATCAAACGTCATGGATGCAGTCCTTCAAGCTCATGGAAGTCATACAAGATATTAAATCTGGATCTCACAGCACCACTACTTCATTCACTGACGTTATGCAACATATTTTTGTATTTGAAGTAAATTATTTGTTCAATTTTCTGTAGGCGACAAAACTTTTGTCTTGCCAAAATCTGACCTTTCTGTGTTCATTAAATGATCAATCTTTCTTCAGTGAAGCAAATTTATTTTAGTATATTGAGCATAATTTGGGAGGGTTTTAGCTTTCATATGAGACATTTCTAAAACCAATCGATTAATTTAAAGTCAGGTTATAAGCTTTTGTTTCTACAAAATGGATAAGTGACAAGACTTTTGTCAGGGACTGTATTTTATGGTTATAAAAGCATCTTATTATACAGAAATACAGTATAAAGAGCCGTGGAGATTCCGTTCACGGAGAAGTGAGGAGAGGGGGCAGTCCTGGTGCAGACTTGGAGCAGAAAAGAGCTGTCAGTCAGTCTATCCCCTCATGTCAAACTCTTAGGCTCCTGCTCTATGTATGTGCTGTCTCTGTAACACTATTTTCCTTGTGACTTTAACCAGATTCTGTTCAGTTGCCATTACCGTGTGTTTAAATATACTTTTTTTGTCAGATATTTGAGCAGAAGACCAGCAACATTTATGAGGAGCAGTTAACAGAGCATTTAACTCCTAATTTTTATAATTCAAGTAGTCTAGTTTGGCCATGACTTGCTGGGGAATCACTGCTATATAGCTGATCTCAAACAGCTAAACTAAACACACATTTCCGTTCATAAAGAAAATTTCACAAGGTCTTTATACAATAGTACATTATGTAAACAATTTAAAGTACAATTTAACAGTAGCCTATTTCTAGTTTTGTAAATGACTCTTCAGCTGTCAGTCATAACCGTAACAACACTACCATCTAGTGGACGAAACCAGAAACTACAAAAGCATAACCACCATGAACATCTACGGGAGACAAAGAGTGAGATGTACTGTATTCATCTCGAGGGAAATTCAAGTTTTGCTGCAGCATTTACACTGATGCTGTTGGTGCTGATACACAATTGTCTTGCTTAAAAAATAAATAAATAAATAAAATCAAGAACTGTGATTAATTGATGTATGTGTTTTCCGCCTATGCCCCTCATGATAGAAGTTGCTGTTATGTATTGACTATTATGTGATTTACCGTTAATGTGGGGTTAATGTGTTTTTGCGTGATTATATGATGAAAGTGGACCCCTGGAAGAGTAGTCTGTGCAACTTTAGAGACTAATGGGAATCCTTAAAGAAAGAAATAAACATTGTGCTTCTCTATGGCCTTTGTGTCTCAGTCAAAGTTGAACAGTAGTATAGTACCTAGACAGTGTTGGGGAGTAACAGATTACATGTACCGGAGTTACGTAATCAGAGTACAAATTATGAGTAACTGTATTCGGTTACAGTTACTGTTTCAGTGAGTGGTAATTGGATTACAGTTACTTTGTTGAAATAAATGGATTACATGGCGGTATTTTCCTGTTTTCACATTTCGGGCTAAATCAGCCCCTGTTTTTTTCTTCTGGTAATTCCACTCAGTGCCAGATAATAAACCAGGTCTAAAAACAGGTCTAAAACCAGGTCCAAAACAGGTCTAAAACCAGGACTAAACCAGGACTAAAACCAGGACTAAAACCAGGTCTAATCCAGGACTAAAACCAGGTCTAAACTAAGTCTACACCAAGACTAAACCATGACTAAACCAGGACTAAAACTAGGTCTACACCAAGACTAAACCAGGACTAAACCAAGACTAAACCAGGTTTAAACCAGGTCCAAACCAGGACTAAACCGGGACTAAACCAGGTCTAAACCAGGACTAAAACCAGGTCTAAACCAGGACTAAAACCAGGTCTAAAGCAGGACTAAAACCAGGTCTAAACCAGGACTAAAACCAGGTCTAAACTAGGTCTACACCAAGACTAAACCAGGTTTGAACCAGGTCCAAACCAGGTCTAAACCAGGACTAAACCGGGACTAAACCAGGTCTAAACTGGGACTAAACCAGGTCTAAAACCAGGTCTAAAACAGGATTTAACAGGACTAAATCATGCTGCGTGGACCGTGTCTCCTCCTCTTCTATCAATAATATATATTTAATACGGTTCAGGAAAGTCTGGGCTTTTTATTTTCTTTTAGCAGACAAAATTTCTTATGTTTCGATATCCTCGTCTTTGCTTCTCTACAGCAAATCAAGTAATCCAAAGTATTCAGATTACATTACTCATTTTATGTAATTTAATGGATTACGTTACAAACTACATTTTGGTATATGTAATCTGTAATCTGTAGGGGAATACATTTTAAAAGTAACCTTCCCAACACTGTACCTAGAGTACTTGTGTACCTGGAGCTTCTGCCAGCATCTCTAGAGTAGACCACGCCCATGCCCTGTTACTTACACTGCTGACACACAGTCATTATGGAGACCAGGGAGTAGAGTCTGTCCCCTGTCCAGGCCCCTCCACACAGCATTGCTCCTTTGGGTACACTCACATCAGAGGTACCAGAAGGAGCACTGTCATGGTGCATGGTTCTGGTAGGCAGGCCGCATATTCATGCATTTGTTTAATGACATTGGCAATACAACTTTTCTCTGATTTTGATTTCTTCTGCTGTGGCGGGTCGTGTCATTCACAGATCTAAACACAAATGTCTGCTGTGGGACTGAGGCTGTGAACACTAAGTCTGAGTCCGAACCAGAAAGTAAAAATGTGTGACGAAATCAGTAGTGTTCAGATGGAGGATTTGGCCTCTGTGTGGAGACATCGGGTTTTTTGTCAGGGACTGTACGTACATATGTATGTGTCAACCACATGATAAGGTATGGTATGTAATGTACCTTGCCCAAAAAAAAATAAAAATGTAAAATGAATTGAATGAAGTCACCAGTTCATTGGTCTTGTCAACATTCAGGTCACTGTGACCACTGCCACTGCTCTCAGCTGTTGAGGGACATGTGAACTGCACTTTACAAAAGTGTGACACTAGGATATATTCCAAGTTCTATTAAAGCTGCTAGTTTGTACATTTTACCAATAAACCTCATTTGCACTGGGGGTTTAATCATTTTGATTGCAACTGTAAAGCAGCTCCTTCTCCTCACTGCTCCTTGGTGCTTATAGTTGTCATGATGTTGCTCTCAGAGGTCAATGGGCGATGGCATAGGCATTTTATTTATTTCGTTTGAACCCTTTCTTGTGATATGTTTTTGTAGTGTATACTGTATGTTCAAGTTTTGTTGTGCGCTAAATCAATCAATAAATACCACACTACTTAGTGTAGGCTACCAACACAGCGGCTATGAAACTATTTGGCTGTAGGCTACTACAACGTCTACTACTAATACTACTACTACTACTACTACTACTACTGCTACTAGTCCAATGAGATTCATTTGGTCTTCC